TGCCCTCCTTTGTCCCGGGCCCCCACCATCACGCCTGGGCCCGCCACCTCCTGCTCTGATCTCTGCCCCCACATGCAGGCCCCGTTCTACTGCAGTCCCCCGAGGTCACCCCCTTGGCGCCTCACTGTCTCCGTGGACTCAGGCCGCCAAGGGCCAGGCACTGTGGGTCGGTCCTCTGCAGAGAGGCCGCGGGCTTCGCTCAGGAGTCAGCCCCAGTCTGCCCCGCGCCCATGCTCCTCACACCATCGCGAGCCCTGGTCTCCTTCCCAGGAGCAGCCCCTGCTGCCCTGTCCTGTGCCCTGCTGGGCCACGCAGACAGCTCTTTGACTGTCTGTCAGTCTGTCCGGTGTATGAAGGCTGGCGCGGGAGCCAGGCCCAGAGCTCATGCCCGCACCCCGGAACCGGGCCGGCGACGGCCCCAGGAGGGAGGCTGCAGGCCAGCGCTGTGACCAAGGTGTGGCGTGCTGTGCTGTGCGACTGGAAGGAGTCGGTTTCCCCTTCAGGCGTCTGAGGAGTCACTCAGGAGGTGGGGAGCGCGACAGTGTCCCGGGACAGCCCCGTGGCACTGACGAGGCGAGTCCCAAAGCTGCTGAGGGCCGGTGTGTGGGTGGCTGGCCGGCTGGTCACCCCCATGTCACAGGGGAACCGTGAGCCCCACCGTGAGCGGGAAGGGTCCCGCTGACCAGGGCTGATTCGTCTTATGCTTGGGGACTCATGGACAGACACATGGACGAGCAGACCCCACATCACGGAGTGGTCATCGGGGTGAAGGGGCAACAGGAGTCCCGTTGATTGGTGCCAGCAGCTGTGCGTTGGGTGTGGCGTGGCCTGGGGCCGGGCAGGGCCTCTGGTGAGCAGGCTCTGCCACTGCCGGGCTGAGACCACGTCCTCCCTCCTGTGTCTGGGGGGGACACGGGGTCCCTGGAAGAGGCTTCTGCGGCAGATGAGATGCAGCCGGGTGCAGGGGCGAGGGAAGCATGTTGTTGAAAGAGGCCGTTTGGGGGCTGTGGCCAGAAGAGGAGTCTCGGCCCACGGGGCCTCGGGTCTACGGCTGTGTTGCCTCTGGGGCACGCCCGGGCCACCCCTGCAGGGCTCAGGACCCTGACACCCCCGGCCAGCCCGGAACGTCCACTCATGCCAGGCAGGGGACCTTGAGGAGAAGTGACAGGGAGAAACCCGCAGGACACCTGAGCTGCCGGGCTGGGCCGGGCGCCCGTGGTAATCAGCCTCTGGTAATCCTCACACAATGCACGGCGTTGGGCTGTAAACCCACTGGCTGGCACCCAGCCCTCCTGCCTCCTCCCCACCGAGATCTGCAAGGCTCCTTGCATGCCAGGCGGCCCATCAACCCACCTCTGCCGCCAGCCCGCTGCTCCTGCACCCACCACTGGGCACCCCGCTTTTCCTGAGCGGCTGCAGGGCCCTTGCCTCTGCCCCCCTTGTCTGGAGCCCTTGTGCCAGTCCAGGGAGCTGCACCCCCATTGCCCTGCTGGCCACCGTCACCCTCCAGACGTTCAGCGAGGCATCCTTGTCTCAGGAACGGACGCTGTCTGCAGTTCTTACTGGTCTAACAGGATGTCGAGTGTTGTTGGAGTCGCAGACTGGGGCCAAAGGTGCAAAGTGCTGCCCCACCGTCCAAATTCAGGGAGCCGCCAGCTGGAGCTGGCCCCTGCCCCCGGGCACTGCCCACCCCCACGTCTGCCCCCCAGCCCACTGCCCCCAGGGCTGACCGTGCACGGCCCACCCCCACGTCTGCCCCCCAGCCCACTGCCCCTGGGGCTGACCCCCCACCGCCCCCCACGTTGACTGTGCACTCCCCTCCCGGGGGCTGACCACCTTCTGCTGCCTGTCCCCAGGATTGACTGCCCATTTGCCCCTGCCCCCTGGGCTGAGCGCCCCCTGCCACCTGCCCCCAAGACGGGCGGCAGGGTTGCTGGTTTAGGGGAGCGCAGCATTTGGTGGTGAGAAGTGACCCCTTGCACCCCAAGGCAGGGGCTTTCCACGAGGGTCGCTCTCGCAGCTGGACCCTGGGGGGGCCACCCGAGCCGGGGAGGGGGTGTGGAGAAGACAACAGCCCTTAAGGCCGCCTCTCCCGCTGCGCACGATCGTGTGTGCAGACGGGCGCACACCAGACCTGCGCCCGGGCCGCCGCCCCCCGGGCAGGCCAGCTCCTGTCTCCCTCACGCCGCCCAGAGCACAGCCCTGTGTTCCGGGAAGGGCCGGACCCGCAGGCCGTGCAGCCCAGCGGTGCTGCAAGCAGGCACAGTTTGTCAGCTCCACGTTACAGACGAGGAAACCGCCGCTCAGGAAGATGACCGGCCCAGGCGAGGGCCAGGCAAAGACCTGTGAGGCCGGACTGCAAGCCAGGCCTGGCTGCCTCCCAGACGGCACTGAAGGGGACAGTCAGGAGCCGTGAAGCCTGTTGACCGCGTGAGAGCAGGGCCGGGGGAGTCGCGTGGCGCAGGAGCAGGGAGTGTGCGGACGTCCTCCCTGGGCCGTCACCTGGACGGTCACCTGGGCTCTGAACACTCCGTCCGGGGCGCAGGCGTCCACACCCGCTCGCGTGTTTCCCGGCTGTTCCTGCCCCCCACCTCTTTTGTCTTTCGCTTCTCTGTGATTTCGCTCGTCCACATGTTGTGTAATAATTAAAAACATCTAAGACAGCCGCCTGGACCTGGTTTTGATAGATGCCTGAAGGGGCTTGTGCCGAGGCTGGCTCACCGGCCCCAGAAAGGGCTGCTCTCTGCGCGGGGGCTCGGGGAGGTGGCCGAGGCGCGCTGGGGCTTCCTTCAGGGTCTCCCGCCCCTGCCCTTGCCTCGGTGGTCCCTCCGGACCTGGCACATCGCCGGACCCCCTGCTGCAGCAGACAGAGCCCCAGGCCCCTGCTCCGGCGGGTGCCCTCGGCGGGAGCCGCTCAGGACACACAGTGGCTTTAGGAGTTCCGGGTTTCATACCCGAGCCCCTCCGGGGAGAGCTGACTGAGCTGGAGTGCCTGCGGCGGCTGTCCTGCCAGTGAGCGCTTCCAGGGCCCTGAGAGGCAGCTGCCTCTTCTCACCCAGACGTTGGTGGGCTCGCGAGCCTACGAGGGACAGTGGACACACTTGTCGTTTTGCACAGGATAGAGTGGCGGCTGCGGTGGCTGTGGGAATGCCACCTGGGGTTTGAAGCCAGGGTAGGAGGGCCACCCGCACTCCCCCCCTCCCAGGACAAAGCAACCCAGGCAGCCACCGCCGGGTCCCCTCTGCCAGGGGCCGCTGCCTGCTCCTGCCGTGGGCCCGGCGTTTCCGGTGGGACATATTAAATTGACAGTTTCAGAGGCCTCGTTGTAGGTCGTTTGTTCAGGGGACCTTGATGAGGACGGCGTCAGACCTTGTGTTACCCGTGTTTGCTCAGGGGCCCTGGTGGGGACAGTGGCAGGGTGCTCTGTCAGCCTCTGCCTCACACAGCTTCCTGACGCTCCTTTACGTCCCATCAACGTCTTAGCTCTGTCGTTACGTGTCTTCAGGTCGGCTCCAAGTCGGCGACCCTGCCCTGCTTGAGCACGTTGTCACAGCCACTGTCCCTCCAGCCTGGTTGGTTGGTTGGTTGGTTGGTTAGTTGGTTGCTTAAGTAGCGTCTGCTTTCTGCGTTTCTAGATGAACGGTCTCGCGGGCGGCACCACGGCGACCCATTCCTTCACCAGAGCTCGCTGAAGCGACTTCCTGTAACACCAGCAGGCCCCAGGCCTTCCCGGGTGGACAGGTGAGTCTGGCGACACTGGGCCCAGGACGGCAGCTGCCACAGAGGCAGACGCAAAGTTCCCTCAGGTCCACGGCTGCCTCCTGTCCAGCGTCCGTGTGGGTCCCGTGGCCTGCGTCTCAGGGTCACCCCTCAGGGAGAGGGGGCCCCGAGAACCCCAAGACCCAGACAGGTTCGCTGTGGCCGTTCCCTGCACCTCCCTCCTCGCACCGCTCTCTCCACGTGGGCTCTGCCCCCGTGGCTCCTCGCACCGTCAGCTGCCTGGGAGGTGGCTCCGCACTGCCGGGCTCCCTTGGGGCTTGACGCTCACAGGCCAGTTACCATGAGGGGTTTGTAGCGGTTTGGATTTGCTGGTGTCACCTCACAGCCGTTGTTTGTCGCCACCGCGTCACCACAACCCCGTGTGTGCCCAGAACTGGTCCATAGGGGTTGGGTTTGTTTGAACTGTTATTGTGATTTGGATGAGTTTGCAGAGCAGGTCGGATCTGCGTTAAGCAGTCCGCAATGCATCCTGTTTTGTGATGTCGATGCGGCCCCAGTGATGTAGCAATGCCCTCCCACTTCCTCCCCGGGGTTCCTGTCTGTCCCGCCCTTCTTTCCCACCCCTTCAACCTCCTGAGGTTCACGCCTGGGCGGACGCTGCCCTGCCCGTGTGGACTATGTTGTTTAAGGCGCGTGCCCTCCCTGGCTTCCTGCTCACCATGCACACCTGTCTGACCGAAGGCTGGGCTCTGGGGTCTGTGGGGTTTTCTGGGCTTCAACTTTTCGGACTCAGATCACCAGACCTGTCCTCCAAGGAGCGCTGGGGGGATCCGACACCAGGCTTTCAGCTGGTTGTTGGCCGCCTAACTGTGCCTCCCAGGGTCTCCTTCTAATGACGTTTCAGTGAGGCCCCCGCCTGTCAGTGTGCCACACCGTGGGGGCCTGTGTGCGGCCGTGGCGCTAGGAGCTGTGGCTCCAGCCTTTCTCACGCCAACAGGGGCCCCCGTGGTGCATAGGTTTCAGCAGAGCTTCGCGGCTAAGACTAGCAAGAAAGACCTGGCAATCTGCATCCACAAATCGGCCAGCGAAGACCCTATGGGTCCCCACAGGACGCTGTCCGGCATGAGGGAAGATGAGCCCCTAGGTGGGACGTCCCTCAGGCTAGCGCCAGAGTGAAACCATTAAAGAGAAGGTGTGAGCCGCCAAGCGCATGCATGAAAAACGTCTCTCTTGAATCCTGCAGGGGTCAGTCCTGTGGAATGACACAGGGGACCGCAGAGAGCCCTCCGACAGGCGGCTGCAGGATCTAGCGGCTCTTTGCAGGATCTGCCAGGCAGCGCAGGGTCCGCCCCGCCTGCGGGTGAGCCCCACGCTATGGACTCCCTGGGGTACAACTGCTTCGTGGACCGAGACAAGATGGACGCGGCCATCCAGGACCTGGGTCCAAAGGAGCTGAGCTGCACGGAGCTACAGGAGCTGAAGCAGCTGGCGCGGCAGGGCTACTGGGCGCGCAGCCACGCTCTGCGGGGCAAGGTGTACCAGCGCCTGATCCGTGACATCCCCTGCCGCACGGTCACGCCCGACGCCAGCGTCTACAGCGACATCGTCGGCAAGGTGGTGGGCAAGCACAGCAGCGGCAGCCTGCCGCTGCCCGAGTTCGTGGACGACACGCAGGTGCCCACCTACTGCCTGAACGCGCGGGGCGAGGGGGCCGTGCGCAAGATCCTGCTGTGTGTGGCCCACCAGTTCCCCGACATCTCCTTCTGCCCCACGCTGCCGGCCGTGGTGGCGCTGCTCCTGCACTACTGCCTGGACGAGGCCGAGTGCTTCGAGAGGGCCTGCCGCATCCTGGCCTGCAACGACCCGGGCCGCAGGCTGGTCGACCAGAGCTTCCTGGCCTTTGAGTCGTCCTGCATGACCTTCGGGGACCTGGTGAACAAGCACTGCCAGGCGGCCCACAAGCTGATGGTGGCCGTGGCGGACGACGTGCTGCAGGTGTACTCCGACTGGCAGCGCTGGCTCTTCGGCGAACTCCCGCTCAGCCACTTCGCCCGCGTCTTCGACGTCTTTCTGGTCGAGGGCTACAAGGTGCTGTACCGCGTGGCGCTGGCCCTCCTCAAGTTCTTCCACAAGGTGAGGGCCGGGCAGCCCCCTGGGCCGGACGGCGTGCGGCAGGACATCCGCGCCTTCGTCAGGGACATCGCCCGGACGGTGTCGCCCGAGAAGCTGCTGGAGAAGGCCTTTGCCATCCGCCTGTTCTCCAGGAAGGAGATGCAGCTGCTGCAGATGGCCAACGAGAAGGCGCTCAAGGAGAAGGGCATCACCGTCAAGCAGAAGA